CCTTTAAAACTACTCAGGAACCTATTTCTAACAACCGGCATACTTCGTTTAATTACACCCACTTCGCCAATATTTTGCTCCTCCATTCATTAAGTGGACCTACGCAAATTTAGATCCGCTGTGAAAATTATCCGCTGAGCTGGTCACCTGTTCTGCATGAATATTGTAAAGGTAATGTTAGATCGAACTGTAAAATCTATTGTGAAGTCTAATAAATCCATTCTAACCTCTCTTCTTTATTATTTTCTTTATTATCATGTTAAAATACAGTTTAAGATACCATTCTATATAGTTTCAATATGCCGTCGTCAATGCGAGAAGTAAAATCATACAGAAAATCGATCAATCCTCTTATTACAACCCTTGCATTCAGATATCATCAGTATTAAATTTTTACCCATTAATGAGATTCTTCATCCTTCCCCTCATTATTATGTATTTTGATTATTCCTGCGTATGATACTATCATAACAGTTGATTAATGATCATTCTGATTGACTGACTGTAAACCGGGAACAAATGTGCGGGATAAACGGACTAGCAAATTCAAATCTGGTATGAAACCACCAAATTTAAGATTTTTCTTCAGCACGTGTTTCGACACTGTGGTCACAGACGGAGAGATGATAAAAGTGTTCACTATGCGACGAAGTTTCTGGTACAAGAATGTCAAAAACTGTCCAACATAAGAGCACATAAAAGATGGCTGCTACCAGAAACGTCGACGGAATAAAAACCTACCTGTGCATCTATAGTCTCTGTATCAGAAGACGGTGTGGCCTGTTCATGGGACTTAAGTTCAGAAGCTAGCAGTGAATCAATAACAATTACAAATGATATACATTGCATTTCTGCTATGTACAACTATTATACTTCACATCAAGGACGATCATCGAAAGAACAAAACTAAAAGTTTGTTGGTAACTTAAACAAATGATATATGTTTCAAACTACTCATCCATCGATCACTCCCTTCACCAGGTCCAGTTTACGATGACGATCGCGCGTGTTATACTGAAGTGTGGGTAAAAGGCACAGAACTAATTCAAGAAAATGAAATTGCAATCAAGAACAGAATATACCCAGATGATTGACACACTGACCGCGATTTCCGAACATTATTTTTTCCCACAGTTTCGAATGTTTGCTCTCATTTTCTCATCGAAACAGCTCATTTCTCATCTCCTCGTATGCTGTGTTTCTAACACGCACAAGGAACCGTAATTCGTTCGTTTCTTTGGTTTTTTCCTTTCGTCAATTCATCGGAATGTGTTTACAAGACGATAACAAATCCGAGTGTCAGTCGTGAAAACGAACACGATGACCGCTGGTATTTTGCAACAGGGCAAAAACTTAGGAGTAAGCATTAAATTCAGGGATCAAATCTTGTGTACGAAGCCTAATCAAACATTTGCTTTCGACATATGTTCTGCCGAAAACAATCACATCAAAGGGAACAAAGAACTGTGATGAAATAAACTCTTACTAACATTATGAACCTAACGACAGAAACAATGATTTATTTGTGACATTAAGGTAAATGGTAAATAAGGACAGTTAAGGTTAATGGCACAAAATTCAGATCAACCGGAAAGAAACTTTTTTAATCATCATTATCCTTTATCACGCCTTGCAGATTAAGATTCGTGATGCTGATTCATCTAAATATGCGGAATCAAATATAAACAATGATAAACGAGCTCACTCATTCATTCTCCATGCATGCCATGCGTTTTGCGTTGCTGGGGTAGCAGCTGCAGGCGATTTTCAACAGTCCCTATCCGTCATTAAGCGTATAAAATTAACCAGTTGGATTCTAAGGCATCACAATGCCACGTGATCACATTTCATATATGTCTGTATTCATTCAAGCCTAAGACTACGGCTTGAAGATGTGCAAAATTATGCAAAATTTCGAACAATTAAACTCTGCAATGGAAAACAGAGTATGCAAAAACAACGGAAGAATAAAAATGACACCGGGCACTAATGGAAGACTGCAAATATTCCTGTCAGAAAAACTGCCCTTGTGAATGAAACGGAAACTATTCGATCAATATTGCTCCCCGCTCCCTGTGCTCACTTCTGGGTGTGAAACAGAGACCCTAATTCTGAAGGCAATTCATAAACCGCAGACTACGCAATGCAACACGTAACGACGTATGTCGCAAATAGCAAGATTAAACATACGAAAAGGAATGAATAAGAAAACATAAACAACAGTTGCACATGTATTCGTATATAAGGGTTACCAGTTCTTGAAACATCGTTCATGATGAGTGCGAGATGGCTCTAATGCACAAATTACTCGAGACGCATCCCTCACTACACGTGTTCAAATACCACGCAGCCGTAGCCTACATAAATAAACACCTAGGCAACGAAGAACAAGGAAACGGTTAAATATGCAGTGAAATCTTAGAGGAATTATGCATCATTTATTGCTGTCCCTGACAAGGAGGTAAGTATGACCCCAAAAGTAAGTAATTTGTGTAATAAAATCGATATGCAGAGCAATCGCGTAAGAAACATGAAGACCATGGATTGATTGTCTATATAAACGAAGAATGCTGAAACTTCATACCTATTATTATTGTTATTTGATGCTACGAATCAGGCTGAGAAGCCATTATTGTGATAGCCTGAGT